ATTTGGCAGAAAATAAAAGGACTAAAAGAAACCCTGGCCAGGCCCAGTGGCTTGCCGGTAATCCCCTCACCTTGGGACGCCGAGGTGGGCGCACTGCTTGAGGTCAAGAGTTCTAGACCAGCTTGGCCAACATAGTGAAACCCTGTCTTTACTAAAAATACCAAAAATTAGCTGGTTGTGGTGGTGCAGTCTTGTAGTCCTAATTACTCAGGAGGCTGAGGCAGGAAAATCGCATCAACCCAGAAGGCAGAGGTTGCAGTGAGCAGAGCCAAGATCATGCCATCACACTCAAAATGAAACAAAACAAAACAAAATAAAACAACCTTGAGAGGTTATTTGGTTATTTTACTTATTTCTGTCACTTCAATCATGTAAGCTGCCTAATACAGGAAAATGTAAATTATTTTAGACTTTCCTGAAAATGTCATGTTATCTGTAACCACAGCCCAGGGGCCAAAATTATTCATGGTCATGAAATTAGCCTCACCCAAAATTCTCAGACTATTAAAACAAAGCATTATCTGTAGAATGATTTTATTTTTCTAGCTTATAAGTTACTAATTCATTTTTTGATTTTTTTTCTTCTTTGAGACAGGTTCTCATTTTGTCACCCAGGCTGAAGTACAATGGTGTCATCATAGCTCACTGCAGCCTCACCCAAGTCCTGGGCTCAGGCAATCCTCTCACCTCAGCCTCCCAAGTGTCTGAGACCACAGGTGTGCACCAACACACCCAGCTAATTTTTATTTATTTATTTATTTATTTATTTATTTATTTTTTGAGACAGAGTTTCGCTCTTGTTACCCAGGCTGGAGTGCAATGACGCGATCTCGGCTCACCACAACCTCCGCCTCCTGGGTTCAGGCAATTCTCCTGCCTCAGCCTCCTGAGTAGCTGGGATTACAGGCACGCGCCACCATGCCCAGCTAATTTTTGTATTTTTAGTAGAGACGGGGTTTCACCATGTTGACCAGGATGGTCTTGATCTCTTGACCTTGTGATCCACCCGCCTCGGCCTTCCAAAGTGCTGGGATTACAGACTTGAGCCACTGCACCCAGCTAATAGCAGTTTCTTAAACTGAACAAGAAAACAAGCTAATTCCAAATGACCTTTGAAGAGTGAAGAAAAAACTTCTTGCCGGGCGTGGTGGCTCAAGCCTGTAATCCCAGCACTTTGGGAGGCCGAGGCGGGTGGATCACGAGGTCAAGAGATCGAGACCATCCTGGTCAACATGGTGAAACTCCGTGTCTACTAAAAATACAAAAAATTAGCTGGGCATGGTGGCACATGCCTGTAATCCCAGCTACTCAGGAGGCTGAGGCAGGAGAATTGCCTGAACCCAGGAGGCGGAGGTTGTGGTGAGCCGAGATCGCGCCATTGCACTCCAGCCTGGGTAACAAGAGCGATATTCTGTCTCAAAAAAAAAAAAAAAAAAAAAAAAAGAAAGAAAGAAAAAGAAAAAGAAAGAAAAAACTTCTCAAGATGCTTCTGAGAGTTCTGGGTGATCAGTAACAGCTTGTTTGAAGAGCCAGAAAAGTCTAAGGGTAAGTCACTTCTACTTTCAGGAGCTGGCGGCAGGAGGAATAATTGAGAAATAATTCAAGGTGGAGGAGAACTAGGAAAATCTCATAGGAGACCGACATTTCTCCATGTTATTGTCAGAAGAGATGGGCTAGGAAGACTCAGGGGGCAGTAATGTGGAGGTGTCCACATGTTTCTTCTAGACAAGAGGGTAAGGACAATGCCAGCTTCTCAGGAAGAGCTCCTGTCTTGGCCTTTTCCTGCTGCTTTATCAAAACACCTTGTAAACAATAGACATGTATTTCTCACAGTTCTGGAGATTGGCTGGGAAGTTCAAGATCTACAGGTGCAGACCCAGTGTCTGATGAGGGCATCTTCTTGTTGTGTTCTCACTGGTGGGAAAGGCAGAAGGGACAAATGCTGTGTCCTCACATGGCAGAAGAGATGTTATGGGCTGAGTGTGTCTCTCCAAAATTCATATGTTGAAGCTTTATCACCAACGTGAAAGTATTAAGAGGTAGAGCCTTAATAAGTGATAAGTCATGAGGTCAGAACCCTTATGGGTGGGACTAGGGCTCTTGAGGGAGTGCATTCATCCCTTTCTAACCCTCCCACCACCACGTGAAGATATAGTATTTTCCCCTTTAGATGTAGCAACAAGGCACCATTTTGGAAGCAAAGAGCAACCCACACCAGGCACCAAGTATGTTGGTGCCTTGTTCTTGGACTTCCCAGCCTCCAGAACGGTGAGCAGTAAATTTCTGTTTTTAGCACATTGCCCAGTCACAGGTATTTCTTTATAGCAGCACAAATGGATTATGACAGAAATTGATACTGAGAAGTGGGATGTTGCTATAACTAATACCTAAATATGTAGAAAGAGTTTTGAAACTGATTAATGGGTAGAGGCCAGAAGAAGTTGGAGATGCATGCTGGGAAAAGCCTAGATAGACATGAACAGAGCATTAAGGGCAGTTCTGGTGAGAGCTCAGAAGACAAGGACTGCAGCAGGGAGAGCCTCAATCTTCTTAGAGATTAAGTGGTCATGACCAGAATGCAGTTAGAGGTATAAAGACAGTTTTGATGAGATTTTTTTTTTTTTTTTTTTTTTGAGACGGAGTTTCACTCTTGTTACCCAGGCTGGAGTGCAATGGTGCGATCTCGGCTCACCGCAACCTCCGCCTCCTGGGTTCAGGCAATTCTCCTGCCTCAGCCTCCTGAGTAGCTGGGATTACAGGCACGTGCCACCATGCCCAGCTAATTTTTTTGTATTTTTAGTAGAGACGGGGTTTCACCATGTTGACCAGGATGGTCTCGATCTCTCGACCTCGTGATCCACCCGCCTCGGCCTCCCAAAGTGCTGGGATTACAGGCTTGAGCCACCGCGCCCGGCTTGATGAGATCTTAAAAGGATACTGGAGGAAAGGTCATCCTTGTTACACGGTGGCAATGAACTTGGCTGAATTGTGTCTGTGTCCTAGTGTTTTCTGAATGGCAGAACTTAAAGGTAATAAACTAGGCTATTTGGTGGAAGAAATCTCTGAGCAAAGTGTTGAGAGTGCAGCATGGCTTCTCATAACTGCTTATAGTACAATGAGAGCAGAGAGCATGAATTAAAGACAGAATTTATAATCAAGAGGAAAGCAGAGCTTAAAAGGTTTCGAAAATTCTTTCCAAATCTTTGGCCATGTAAAGAATGAAAACGCATGTTTGGGAGAGAACACCAAGGGCGTGGCCAGGCTCACACTTGATAATGAGATGAGTATGGCTAGAAGGAAGCCAGATGCTGTTTATCAAGCCAATGGAAGAATGAACCCAAAGGCATTTCAGAGGTTGCTGGTGCTGGATGCTCATCACCATCCCAGAGTGCCAGGACCCTGAGGGCAGCATGGTTTTAAGGGAGGACTCAGGACACCGTGGAACCTTGGGGCTTGCTGCCCAGGGCTGCCTCAAATCTGTGCCCACTCGCCCCCTGCATTCTGGTGCAGCACTCTTTGGCCACCGCCCCAGGTATGGCTTATGCAGGCTATTGTCAGGACACCCTTCCTGTGAGCCTTGGCAGTGTCCATGTGATGTTAACTCTGCAGGTGCACAGAGTGCATGAACCGTGGAGACAGCCGCCTCCGCCTAGATTTTGAAGGATGTCTTAGGGAACCTGGGGGTCCAGGCAGAGAATTGTCACTGAGGCGAGGCTGCTGCAGAAAGCCCTCACTAGGGCAGTGTTTAGTAGAGCAATGGCACTAGGCCCCTGCAGAGAGCCCCAACTGGGGTAATAGCTAGTGGAGCTCTGGGAATAGGGCTGTCCCTGAGAACCCAGAACTGTACAGCCACCAGCATGCAAGTCCCCGCTGTGAGAGCCTAAACTTCAACCTGTCAGAGCTGCTGCAATGGTTATACCTGGCAAATCCATGGGACTGGGTCCCCTGGACCCTAGAGGATCCAATCCCCATCCTGATGTGCTTGAAATGGGGGACACAGCATCAAAGAAAATTATTCTGAAGCCCCAAGATTTAATGCTGTTTGCCTTGTTGCGTTTTTGGACTTCCTTGGGATCAGATGCTCCTTTCTTCTTGCCTGTTCCTCCCTTTTGGAATAGGAATGTCCTTCCTATGCCTGTCTGGCCACTGTATTTGGAAGGCATGTAACGTCTGGCCACTGTATTTGGAAGGCATGTTTGATTTCACAGGCTCATGGCTGGAGGGGAATTTCAGTTAGGATGAATTGTACCTTGAATCTTATGCCTTTCTAATTTAGAAGATATTTAGATGAGACTTTGGACTTACATTTTATTTTATTTTATTTTATTTGTAAAGGTGGGGTTTCACCATGATGACCAGGCTGGTCTTGAACTCCTGACCTCTGCTGATCCACCCACCTCGGCCTCCCAAAGTGCTGGGATTACAGGCGTGAGCCACGGCACCCGGCCAGGACTTTTAACGTTGATGCTGGAACTCTGTGGGCCACTGGGATAGAATGCATGCATTTGTATGGGAGAAGGGTATGCATTTGGAGAGCCGAGGCAGAATGCTCTGCTTTGAATGTCTGTGTTCCCTCCAAAATTCATTCTGAAACAATCTTCAATACAATACTAAGAGGTGGTGCCTTTAGGAGGTGATTAGATCGTGAGAGCACCTGCCTCAGACGTGCGATTGGCCCCTTTCAAAAAGGTTTCACATGGGATTTGGCCCCTTTTGCCCTTCCACTTTTCCACCATTGAGGATGCAGCAGCAAGCTGTGATCTTGGAAGCAGAGAGCAGGTGTTTGGAACTGCTTCTGTTTTATCCGATCCTGGAGGCCCCTCTTTTTCCCTATGCAAGATCCCCACATTTGTTTCCTCCCCTCATAGAAAGCTCCCAATATAGATGGGACTCGAAGTCATTTGCCCTCCAAGAGGTGACACACTGTCTTCTCGGTCTTTCACACCTTTGAAATAGCTTTTCAGGTCTTTGCCGGAGATTCCGGGAAAGGCTTAGAACTGAGAAAGGCGCCCATTCCCCGAGGAGGGCGCTGCTGGGAAGCCCCGCTCACTTCTGCCTCCACTTAGGCAACCCCAGGAGCTCTGACTCCTAGGCAGTCACCGGGAAGGGCCGCTGCCCCGCCCGCGGCCGCGGCCTGCGTGACACTTCCGCACTGTATAAGGGCAGCGGCCCTGGGCGCTTCCTCCCAGACCTCGCACCCAGCTCGGAGCCCGGAACGTGCCTCGGCGCATCGGGTAAGGCCGGGACTGGAGGGACCAGGCCCCCTCGCTCAGCTTCCAGCCCAGCACCCCCCACCTCCTAGGCTCAGGCCAGTCTGCCCCACAGCTCCGCCTGCGCCCCCGGTGCGCGCCCCCATCCCCTACTGGCGTCTGGTCTCAGATAGACCCCTTGGATCCTCGCCCTTGCCGAGGCGCAGGCCGGACCAGCCAGCGAGGGAGGGAGGGAGGGAGGACGACAGATGCAGGCGGAAGTCAGGACTGAAACTTGAGACCCGAATGTTGTTCTTTCTCCCTGAATTCCCTGCCTCCCAGAGCTGTTTGTGAGTTTTCAGGCAGCCCAGGGCCAAGCCGCTTCTCCTTTCTGCAGCTGCAGGGAGCGAGAGGAGGAACCCCTCGCGATTCTGGAGACGACTTAACAACAAGGAGAAGTCGGCTTTGCACTTACGTGCCGAGCAGCCAGCACAGTTCTTCTTTGCCTGTCCTTGGGGAAATAAGGGCTCTCAGAGTGGAGATCAAGATGGGTTGGTGGGTGGAGGATGGGGATGCTGCAATGCCACACCCCGGCACATCCTGCGCAGGCTCTGAGACTTTGGGCGCTGGACCTCTTACACCTTTTGAACCTCAAAATGAGGAATAATTATATGATTATAATAATTACAGCGATACCCTTGCAGGAGTTTTAATGCATAGTAGCTAGGTATGAGTCTCTGATAGAACGCTCTTAGTTCAGGTGAAGGCAGGCAATAGATTCATTGCCCAGTGAATCAGAGACTTGAATCAAAGGCTCAGAAGCAGGTGCACTCCCAGATGTAGGTTGGAAGGACCCAGGGCTGGGTGGCTATGCTAAGGCTGGGGTTTGCCCCACCTACCCCTCAGACTCACCTGTCTGCAAGGTCAGAGCCCTATAGGGCACCCTGGATCCTGATCCCCTTTAACTGATGAATCCTTGGCCATTATGATCCCACATCTGTGGGCCTGGGAAAGTGTTCTTGCCCCGCTGGAATAAAAAAGTGGGGAGAAAGTACAAGATCCAGGGCATTACAGGGTGGTCGGCACAAGATGAGGAAGCTTCTGGGGAAACAGTGCTGCCCGATCAGCTGGGATGAGCAGCGGGAACCAGGCACCATGGGGTTCCTGTTATGTGTTACAGCTTTCACCATGGAGCAGCTGAGCTCAGCAAACACCCGCTTCGCCTTGGACCTGTTCCTGGCCTTGAGTGAGAACAATCCGGCTGGAAATGTCTTCATCTCTCCCTTTAGCATTTCGTCTGCGATGGCCATGGTCTTTCTGGGGACCAGAGGTAACACGGCGGCGCAGCTGTCCAAGGTCAGCAGAAACAAAAAGGGTCTGCTTTCCTGCTGTCTCCCTATGAATGGACAGTCTGTATGGAAAGGTTGTGCCGTTGAGCTCTTACAGCATGTTTTCAAGACTGTATTTCTGGGTTCAACAACTATACATTATGAGATCAGACTTTCCGAAAAGTCCCATTTGTATGTAAGCTTTTATTCATCATCAGGTTTTTCCTAAGTACCTACCACATGCCAGGAACTGTTTTTTTGTGTTCCTGAGGAGATAGCAGTGAGCAAAGCTGACAAAAATCCCTTCAGGGCGAGGCTTCTGCTCCAGTGGTTGACTCTGACAGCTTTCCTGAAAGCCACACCAGGTCCTCTTGGGCCGGCAGCTTCCGGTTTTCGCTTTGCATATGATGATTTGCAACTCATAAACACTGCCTGTTACGTAATGCTACTTTCAATTATAATGAGAGCAATGAGACACAGGGAATGCACTATAATGGAGATAGTGGCATTACTGTTTTGCAGGGAAGAAAGTGACCCTGTGGTTCTATAGTCCCAGGGCTCTGTGCATGGCTTAGTGGGCTGTGGCATAGCAAGCCCTGCAGGGGAGCTGAGGGGGAGACCCAACAGCTTCCGGAGCAGGACCCAGCCCCTGGCAATGTGACAGGTCACTCTCATGCCCAGCCTTCCTTCTTGTCCTTAATGGAGGGGACTTCTGTGCTTGGTACTCTTCAATTCTGAGAAGAGAACTCTAGCTGTCTTTCAAAGCTCAGCTTCTGCTGAGAGGTAACAGCGGAGATTCTTCTCACATACCTGCTGCAAATTATACTGCATCTGCTCCTTGGCAAGGTGCAGCCCGGGATTCAAGTTTAAGGGGCTGCAAAGCTTCTATTACTCATCATTTTAGATATGAAAGCATTTTAAAGATTTTTTTAAAAAAATCGTTGAAGAAACTTCTGTTACTAATTGTTAGTTGCTTCTTGCAGGGTTATACCAGTTCCTAGCTTGAGACTTTCCAGGGACTTTAAAAACCTCAGCAACGAATAGTTTTAAGGAACCCCCCCTCCAACCATTTTCATTAAAGCAGATGGATCAGAGGTACAGTGGAAAGATTCCATATCCCAGTGACTAATGTGGACTTTGTACTCTATGTCGTTTTGTTCTTTGTGTCTTAATAATAAAAGAACCAGCCTAAGCCTCATAAAACCACAAAGGGCCTCTTGATTTGTAACTGACACACGAGGAATTAAACTTTTGCTAGAATGTTAAGTTTAAGGAAGTTATTTTAAAAAAACGAGTTAATGTTTAACAGGGTAATTCAAAAAACTTCAGTCTGTAATATGTTTGTGGTTCTGAATAGAGGACGAATCCTATTTTTACTGCTTATTTCCGAGAACTTTCAGTAAAACTGTATTTGATACAGAAAATAAACATGAACATACCATTTATGATTTTCTTTGGAAAAAGGCAGACTTATACATAAATATATAGTGTATTAACCACTCACATTTGAGGAACTGCAAGTATAACAAAAAGCGATGTGAAAGCAATGGCAAATTAATAAATATTGGGTTGGGGATCATCAATAATTAGTAATAGAAACACATTAATTTAATTTGATAGAAGGAAACACCAAGGAACCACTTTATGGTTTCAAAATAAATGGTTGTGAAAAGAATATTTTCTTTATTTTAGACTTTTCATTTCAACACGGTTGAGGAGATTCATTCAAGATTCCAGAGCCTGAACGCTGATATCAACAAACGTGGCGCATCCTATATCCTGAAACTTGCTAATAGATTGTATGGAGAGAAAACGTACAATTTCCTTCCTGTAAGTACTTTGCCCTTCACATTCTAAAACCCCGCTACACAGTGCAGATATTTTCCAGCACAATCAAGTCATGGAAGTCAGTTTTAGTATTTGTAAACTTTCAGAAAACGCAGAAGGCAAACATGGCAGAAACAATACGGAAGGCAGCATGACAGAATGCAAACAGCCAGAATGCAAACTTCAATTGACATGGCGATTTTTGCATTACAATCTTTTTTTTTTTTTTTTTTTTTTTTTTTTTTTTTTTTTTGAGACGGAGTTTCGCTCTTGTTAACCCAGGCTGGAGTGCAATGGCACGATCTCGGCTCACCGCAACCTCCGCCTCCTGGGTTCAGGCAATTCTCCTGCCTCAGCCTCCTGAGTAGCTAGGATTACAGGCACACGCCACCATGCCCAGCTAATTTTTTGTATTTTTAGTAGAGACGGGGTTTCACCATGTTGACCAGGCTGGTCTCGATCTCTTGACCTCGTGATCCACCCGCCTCGGCCTCCCAAAGTGCTGGGATTACAGGCTTGAGCCACCGCGCCCGGCCTGTATTACAATCTTTTTAGTGAAAAGATAGCTCCTGGAGGTTTTACTGAAGCAGGAGTACAATCAGTATTTGTGAAATCTTAGTCCAAGTTCAGAAAAGAGTGGTAATTTTTATATAACACCAACAGGATAAGGGTTAGACTTACCGTGACTGAAACGTACATGTAAAAACGGCTAAGATAGAAAATGTGACCTTAAATGTTTTTTGCTACTATGAGAAAAACTGTAAGAGTTGAAACTGTAGCCTTTTAAGACAATTTCTGTTGCTTTTCGGGATTTTAGAAAACAATTTCTATAGGTAGGAGGAGTTGCTTCTATTTTCTTCTTTTTTTTTTAAATAGGAGTTCTTGGCTTCAACTGAGAAAACATATGGTGCCGTCCTGACCAGTGTGGATTTTCAGCGCGCCCCTGAAGATGCAAGGAAGACCATAAACCAGTGGGTGAAGGGACAGACAGAAGGTGAGAGCCTGGGCAGAATGGAATCATCATACACAGGTCATTCCTTTCCTCAGTCTGCCTTCCCCACCTGCAATTCTTCCCTCCCCAGCTCCCACAGTCCTGGCACACATTGTGATTACAGTCAGAGGATGCTTGGGGTGCGTGAGCTCTGCACTTTCCATTGCTGGACAGCTCTCAAATGCTGGAAGTTCACCAGAGTGGAAACTTAAACATCATTTAACTCAAGCAGCTAAATTTCTTGTTCTCATCAGCTCCCCAAAACTATATTCTAAAGTTCAAACCAACATCAGCAGGCACGGTGGCTCATGCCTGTAATCCCAGCACTTTGGGAGGCCAAGGCAGGGGGATCATTTGAGGTCAGGAGTTCAAGACTAGCTTGGCTAACATGATGAAACCCTGTCTCTACTAAAAATACAGAACAACTAGCTGGGTGTGGTAGCACGCACCTATGATTCTTGCTACTGGGGAGGCTGAGGCAGGAGAATCGCTTGAATCTGGGAGGTGGAAGTTACAGTGAGCCAAGATCACGCCACTGCACTCCAGCCTGGGCAACAGAGTAAAATTCTGTCTTTAAAAAAAAAAAATTAATTAAGAAAGTAAGTAAGGGCTGGGTGCTGTGGCTCATGCCTGTAATCCTAGCACTTTGGGAGGCCAAGGTGGGTGGATTACCTGAGGTCAGGAGTTCAAGACCAGCCTGACCATCATGGTGAAACCCCACCTTTAAAAAAAAATAAAAATAAAAATAAAATAAATTAAGAAAAAAAAGAAAGTAAGTAAAGTTAAGACCAACACTGAATATAGCAAAAAAGAAATTAAAATTTTGAGGAGAATCCAGCCTGCCAAAAATTATCTAATATACATAAGGAAAGAAATATCCTGGAATTTCATGGAAATACCTGAAATCAATATTCACAAACTGCTGTGGTCATAAATTTTTTGCCAAGATCTTGTCCAGTAGAAAAAGGTGTGGTAGGTGTGGACTGACTTGCTCTTTAGGGTACAATTTATTTCTTTACCACATCTCTTTTCTTATATAGTCCTGTATCAGTCGACCCACTCCAGAAGGCCTGTCTGCCATTATGGGAATTGTTCCTGGCCATACTTGTGGTCACCAAGGTGACCTTTGTTTCCATGGAGTAGCTGTTCTGCTGTTTTTTTGGTTTGTTTGGTTTTGGTTTTTGTTTTTAAGAGACAGAGTCTTGCTCTGTCGCCCAGGCTGGAGTACAGTGGTGCAATTGTGGCTCACTGCAGCCTTGACCGCCTGGGCCCACAGGATCGTCTCACCTCTGCCTCCCAAAGCGCTGGGATTGCAGGTGTGTTCCACCAGGCTTGGTCTTGTTCTGCCTTTGGGATATTGTTTAAATCTTTTTTGTGAAAGTAGGCATCTACTCAGCGATTCGAAGAAGTGATTTACTGATGACTAAAGACATTTTTTTCATCAAGAATTGTTTTTCTAAAAATGAATGGTTGTTACAAAATGAGGCTCATTGATTGTCATACAGTCCAGAAAAGGGGAGTGTTCCATTCTTTAGTCTTTCAGCACATTTGACTTGTTTAAATTTTGGAGTCCTTTGTGGGTAGTTTGTGTGTCACCCTGGTCTGCCTCACGGGTTGTTATGTTTAAAGTGAAGACATGCTACTAGGTAGGGCTTTCCTAACTTAGTATGTTGTTAAATGAAGATTAAGTCGAAAGTATACATTTGTATTGCATTTCCATGCTAATTTATTGTCAGCGCAAATTTGGAATTCCAATTTGAATTTTTTCTAACGCTAACTTGATTTTTTTTAGGGAAGATTCCGGAGCTATTGGCTTCAGGTGTAGTTGATAACATGACTAAACTTGTGCTGGTAAATGCCATCTATTTCAAGGGAAACTGGCAGGAGAAATTCCTAAAAGAGGCCACGACGGATGCCCCGTTCAGATTGAATAAGGTGAGGTGAGGTAACGGTACAGAATCATACATTGTTCTAAAAGAATGCAGAGAGTAATTTCAGTGATTTTTTTAAACTGTTCAGAGAGACACAAAAACTGTGAAAATGATGTATCAGAAGAACAAATTTCCGTTTGGCTACATCGAGGACCTTAAGTGCCGTGTGCTGGAACTGCCTTACCAAGGCAAGGAGCTCAGCATGGTCATCCTGCTGCCGGATGACGCTGACGATGAGTCCATGGGCCTGAAGAAGGTATGGCTCCCGGTCTTCATGCTTCGTGGTTCCTCCTGTGTGTGTGTCGCATGGTAGGTAGGTGCTCATTAAGTGTTCACCGATGGCCGGGCGCGGTGGCTCACGCCTGCAATCCCAGCACTTTGGGAGGCCGAGGCGGGTGGATCACGAGGTCAAGAGATGGAGACCATCCTGGTCAACATGGTGAAACCCCGTCTCTACTAAAAATGCAAAAAATCAGCTGGGTGTGGTGGCACGTGCCTGTAATCCCAGCTACTCAGGAGGCTGAGGCAGGAGAACTGCCCGAACCCAGGAGGCAGAGGTTGCGGTGAGTCAAGATCGCGCCATTGCACTCCAGCCTGGGTAAAAAGAGTGAAACTCCGTCTCAAAAAAAAAAAAAAAAGTGTTCACCGATGGCATATTTTCTAATAGTTTGCTATTCCTTTGTAAATGTAGCCCATCAACACTTACTATACCAAAGCTCAGAGTTAATTTTTTTTTTTTTTTAAATTTATAGACACAGGATCTCACTATGTTGTCTAGGCTGGTCTTGACCTCCTGGCTTCCAGCAATTCTCCTGCCTCAGCCTCCTGAGTAGCTGGGACTATAGGTGTGAGCCACTGTGCCTGGCTAACATTTCATTTTTCAAGAGAGATGGGCAGCTACTTTCGGTGGACACATGTGATGGGGTCATCTAAAGATCTATACTAAATATAATACTGGTTAGTAGCAGCCCATGGAAAGGCTCTTTAATTAACTTTAGAGGAAATTACAGTAAGATGAGGACTGTTTTACTAAGGAAAAAGATTTAAACATCCCAATAGTGCAGCATATAGCTTCGTCATGTACTATAAAATTCTATTATTACACTGTTCATTCTCATCACAGTTCATATAGATAGTGAATTAAATTTCCAATGGTTACAAGACAGAAAAAGTCTCATATGACACATTAGGCCTATTTACTAATATGAACTTTCTATGAGGTTTCTATTACGTGTATTTTTTTTTTTTTTTTTTTTGAGATAGGGTCTCACTCTGTCTCCCAGGCTGGAGTGCACTGGTGATCATTTAAATTTTTTGTAGAGATGGGGTCTCACTATGTTGCCCAAGCTGTCTTTTATATGTAATTTAAAGGCTATTACATTTCTTGCCAGGAATAGAAGTAACCAAAACTGTGAAGATTAAAGTTTTTCTTTAGGGACCCTGGCCTGCTCTGTGCTCTGTCTCTCCTACCCAACTAAACTTGCTATCAGGAAGGAAGTCTAATAATAATCATTTGCACCTAAAGTCCAATTAAAAATTACATACATATATATAAATAATACTGGTCTTGCCGGGCGTGGTGGCTCACACCTGTAATCCAAGCACTTTGGAGGTCAAGGCGGGCAGATCACCTGAGGTTGGGAGTTCAAGATCAGCCTGACTAACATGGTGAAACCCCATCTTTATAAAAAATAAAAATAAATAATAATACTAGTTTTAAATAACAAAAGTTTTGCCTTTTATTTCTAAAAAAATCATTTGCATATACAGCCTTTTAATACATTGTATAAAAATCAATGTGGTCTTTCTTTCAGTTGTATTTTTGCATTAGTTTTTTTTTTTCTGATTGTAAAGTGAAAATCTCTAGCCTCATAAAAGGAATTGTCAACACGACTGGAACAAGTAGTGATGGTTCTGTTCCAGTCCAATAGCTATAACAATAGTAATGATAATAGCCGACATTTATATAGCACTATGCGCCAAGCACGTTATATACATCATTTCATTTAATGCTCTCGACATTCTGTAAGGTAGATATAAGTATTGTCCACATCACAATTTCAGATGAGGAACTAGGCCCAGTGCATAATCTGCCTTTGTAATTTTTACCTAGGAGCTAAAGTTATTAGATGTTACTTCGGCTCCAGTGAGGCTCACAGATTACCACAGATTCAGTGGGATTCAGACTAAATAGAAGAAATATTTTAAATTTCTTCTAGCACTACTCAACCAATGAAGAGTAACAGCAGCTGTCATGGCCTATCACAGTAATACATTGTGGTAGGGGTTTAGTAAGCCTTGGATGAATGGATGGATAAATGGGTGGATGGATGGGTGAATAGGTGGATGGGTAAATGGGTGGTTGGAAGATGGATAGGTGGATAGATGGCTGGATTGGTGGATAGGTGAATGGGTGGTTAGATATATGGGTGGCTGTGTGGCTGGGTAGCTGGGTGGGTGGATGGATGGATGGATGGATGGATGAGTGAATGAATGGATGAATGGGTGGATGGATGGTGGGTGGGTGATGGATGATGGACCCAATGTACAAAGTCCCTGTACTTGAACCTTTGATGACTTGGAACATTAGCTCTGCCCTATTTCATCAATTGCCAGAAATAAATAAAATTCTCCAAATGGAATCTGTTTTGGCACAAAACATGAAGGAAAATAACTAGCAACTGTTATTATGGGTCCATTCATTTAAATATTGCCTTATTGCCTTACTTATGTAAAATTGATATCACTTCTTCTTTTGCTGCATTTTAATTACAGGTTGAGGAACAGTTGACTTTGGAAAAGCTGCGTGAGTGGACCAAACCTGAGAATCTCAGTTCCATTGAAGTTAATGTCAGCTTGCCCAGGTTCAAACTGGAAGAGAGTTACACCCTCAACTCTGACCTGGCCCGCCTGGGTGTGCAGGATCTCTTTGACAGTAGCAAGGCTGATCTGTCTGGCATGTCAGGAGCCAGAGATATATTTATATCAAAAATTGTCCATAAGTCCTTCGTGGAAGTGAATGAAGAAGGAACAGAGGCAGCAGCTGCCACAGCGGGCATTGCCACTTTCTGCATGTTGATGCCAGAGGAAAATTTCACAGCCGACCATCCATTTTTTTTCTTTATTCGGCACAATTCCTCAGGTAGCATCCTGTTCTTGGGCAGATTTTCTTCCCCTTAGAAGAAAAAGACTATAGCAATACAAAATCAAGCTTAGAGCTTTATTACCTGAGTTTCTAATGGTGCCAATGTTCTTACATCTTTACCAATAAAACCACTATCCAGAAACAAATCTTTCAATTTCTTTGTAAGTTCTGCTCTGTTGGGTGTTTACACATGAATTTTGGCATGGGTATCTATTTTTCTTTTTTCACATTGAAAAAATCCAGTGGTTGCTTTTGAATACATCGAGTGAAAAAGAGAAAAGAATACAGAAGATGTGTAGATTCTTGACCATGCAGTAATCTATAAAATTGCTGTATCTTCCTGATAGCCATGGGAAAACATGATAAGGTGGTCATGCATTTTGAAATTAGAATTTTGGAAGCTGCAAAATAGACAGACACTCTGACTGTTGAAAGGGCAATTAAAAACAGATATTCAGTTGAAATTCAAGAGAGCACCCCAATTGAGAGCCTGGGTTATGAAGACAAACTTGTCTTGCCTGATGTTTCTGTTTCTTGTTCTGCAGGATTCATATTCTGCTACAGCCCTCTAGTTTTTAGACTCTTCAATTAAAGGGCCAACAGTTATAACCTGCATTTCCTTTTTTGTTCTTCTGTATGTATAATATATAGTTCATGTGGGACTGCATGGAGTCAAGAAGTGGGTGTCTTAGGATAAAAGATGCCAAGAGTCTACAAAAATAACCAGGTAGTAGGATAAACTGCGGAACAAAGGTTTCACACTTAGCCACCTTCTCATGTGTTTTCTTTTTTTGAGACAGAGTCTTGCTCTGTTACCCAGGCTGGAGTGTAGTAGCACAATCTCAGCTCACTGCAACCTCTGCCTCGTGGGTTCAAGCAATTCTCCTGCCTCAGCCTCCCAAGTAGCTGGGATTACAGGTGTGTACCACCAGAGCCAGCTAAATTTTACATTTTTAGTAGAGATGGGGTTTTGCCATTTTGGCCCGGCTGGTCCTGAACTCCTGATCTCAGGTGATTTCTTGCCTACCTCGGCCTTCTCATGTGTTTTCTGATTGAGGCTCTTGACTTCCCTCATTCACACAGGTTGTTATGGCAATAAGATGGCATTGTGCGAGGCTGTGTGGGGAGATGGAGTGAGGGCTGTTGGACTAATAGAAAACTTTATCAATTGTAGTTCTTTGGGGCTTGAAATGCTGCATTTTCTTGATCTCACAAGGATAGGGGGCATCATAAATTAATAAAACTTCCTAGGATTCTGCAAGCCAGACTGGTCTCAGGCCTATTCTTATTTCTCCTTTATCCTAGACAAGTTAAGGCTACAAAAGGGGATTCCCGGCCTGACATCAGTGTTGGTGGTGAGGAATTCTACAGGTTAACAACAAAATGTTGGCAACTCTCTTGCCAACAAACTTTCTTTCTTTCCCCCTTTCTTAAAATACTTATCAGCACCTGCCATATTCCAGGTTTTCTTACTTATAGGAAAAACATTGCCTTCTGTAACTCTTCTCTTTTGGTTCCTCATCCTAAAATCCACTGTGATTTAGAGTAAATCGTGCTAATTATGTAGAAACTGAATTGCAGGGGCCCAGCAAGTCTGCTCAAATTATATGTAAGGGAACAGGCCCATAGACTATAAGTAAATTGTTGAAGATCAAAACAACTGGTGAATTCCAGGGCAGAGACTAGAATTCAATTCTTATTTTATGTGGAGAGCATCTAATTTATGTAATGGTGAAATAGTTACCTCAGGCCTCCGAAGACAATTAAAAACCAAATAAATAAAACAAGCATCAGCCCAAAGGCAAGAGAGGGTTAACCTGATCATAAAGATTACTGGTCCAAGATCTAGAACCAATTGGAAATTCAGAAAAGTGAATCTGGAAATTGGGGTCACTTCTGCCCCAGGGACATTTACCAATTCAGAGGAGGGAAATGGGAAGTGGTAGACAGAGTTTGGGCCTGTCAAGAGTGGGGGCCCCATTAGACTGCCTCTGCTATTTTTTTTTTTTGGCATCCTAAGAGCTATTCCGTAGCTGAGTCATGAGTATGACAGAGTCAGCTCAGAATGCAACCCTGCTATAAGTCATTGGAGAGCCCAGAAATTTCCAGTCCCTCAAGGTAGATTACTTTCATCCCGGTTTGCTGCAACCTTGGGCACATTGCAGAAGCAAACAAAAATCAGATTTTGGGGAAAATTACCCATAAACCTCAAATCATGTTGACCATCAGGTTCTATAATACAATATCTAGCACATAATAAAAAATAATTGGACAGTTGAGGAGCCTCCAGAAAGACAAATATGATAAATAAAACCCCAAAACGCAAAAGAATGGCAAATACAAAAGGGAGGATAAGAGACTCAAGGTAGTCCATAAGAAGATGCTTAATGGGAGAAAAGAAAGTATGGAACAAAATCATATTTTATTCATGTATTTGTTAATTATTATATATTATATAATTTATTATATTTTTGTTTCCTGGCTGGAGTGCAGTGGTACAATCACAGCTCACTGCAGCCTTGAACTCCTGGGCTCAAGTGATCCTCTCACTTCAGCCTCCCAAGTAGCTGGGAACACCAGAGTGTGTCACCACACCTGACTAATTTTTAAATTGTTTTTTCAGTGACAGGATCTCGCTATCTTGCTCATGCTGGTCCCTCATGGCTTCAAGTGATCCTCCTGCTTTCCAATAACTCCCAAAGTGCTGGGATTATAGGCATGAGTCACCACACCAGGCATCAGAATATTTTAAAATCTAACATTCAAATGTTTATACTAAAACAGATAAAGGATGTCAATTCACAGCATCTGGAAACCCTACTCAAACCCCAAGTAGGAAATACAAAGAAATCCATCTCTAGACGCGTTCTAGTAAAACTGCACTCATCCAATGACTAAGGGAAAAATCACACAATGAAAGCCACCAAAGAAAAGACCAAAGTACCTTGGAAAAAACAAAATCTAAAAACCCTGCTAACCTAGAATTATTGGATGCCAGGAAGAACATCCTTCAAGATGTTTTCAGACAAAAACTGAGAAAGTTCGCCATCACCAGACTTCCCCTGAGAAAAAGTCTAAACGCAATTGTTTATGCACAAGAAATGTCAGAGTTGTAACAACAGCAATAAAAAAGCAAGAAAAATTAGTGACTATAGTAAGTTTAAATGAATATTGACCATGTAAGACAGACGTGATGTCTACAAAGTTTCAATCAGATCCAGAATTAAAAGAAAAGAAAACATAGAAGTTGGGGAGGAAAATGGAGTTGAAAGTTCTAAGATCCTTGCATTGTCTGGGAAGAGAACAAAGTACAATTACAATTATATTGGAGGTTGATAAAGAACGATAAAGAATACCATCATCAGTCTGAAAGAACAGAAAGAAGAGAAAATCATGCATAGAGTAGGCATGACAACTAGCAAGATGGTATATTAGACTCTAAATAAAATGTACATTCAGTAAATGTTCCCATTCTAGTAAAACAACAAAGATGGTCAGGCTGGAATGAAAAAATACTGCACACTATTTAGAGGGAATAGGTATAAAGCATAAGACTAGGGAGAATTTGAAAAGAAAAGAATAGAAAAAGATATATCATGCAAATACTAACCATAAAAGTAAGGGTAGCTATAACAGCATTAGCGATAATGTCTACGGAGTCTCAAATATATCTAGAATTAAAATAAATGATAACATAGAAGTTGGGGAGGGAAATGGAGTCATAAATTCTAAGATCGGCGGGGCATGACCTGGCTCACGCCTGTAATCCCAGCACTTTGAGAGGCTGGGGTAGGTGGCTCATGAGGTCAGGAGTTTTAGACCATCCTGGGCAACATGGTGAAACCCCCTCTTTTTTTTTTTTTTTTTCTTAAGATGGGAACAAAGAGAAAATAAACCGTATCCTTGGATGAGAAGAGAAACTATTATAAAAAGTGTCAGTTCTCCAAAAATTAAAGTGCATAATTTCAATTGGTGTAACAAAGAACAGGCAAAGAAAAAATATTTTTTAAAAATACAAAGATTTTGTTATGGAAAATAGAAAAAAACAGTGAGAGGAATTCATTTTTTTTTTAATAAGAAAAAGAATAAAGAAGAGGAAGAAAGAGAAAGAGGAAGAGGGAGAGAGAATGGGGGTATTGCTTTGTTGCCCGGGCTAGAATGCAGTCTAAATATGGGAATGCCTATAATTGTCCTTAATAATGGAGACATGAAAGAAAATGAGGGAAGAGAGTAACAAACAAGGAGCCAACCAACATTTCGTTTAAACTTCTAAGTTGATATGATGTGGTACTGATAAGAGTGTATATTTTGTGTAAAGTGGAGAGTTCTATAAATGTTAATTATGTTTACTTGTTCCAGATCTGAGTTCAAGTCCTAGATATCATTGTTAATTTTCTGTCGCATTGATCTGTCTAATATTAATGTTGAAGTCTCCCACCATTATTGTGTGGGAGTCTAAGTCTCTTTATAAGTCTTGTATGTCTGGGTATTCCTGTATTGGGTGCATGTATATTTAGGACCTTTAACTCTTCTTGTTGTTGCATTGATTCTTTTATCATTATATAATGTCCTTCTTTGCTTCTGTTGATCTTTGTTGCTTTAAATACTATTTTATCAGAGGCAAAAAGTGTAACTTCTGCTTTTTATTTATTTATTTTTGCTCTCTGGTTGGTTGGTAAGTCTCTCTCCATCCCTTGTTTTGAGTCTTTGTGTATCCTTGAATGTGAGATGGGTCTGGATGCAGCATACAGTTTTAGTTTTTTGTCCAAATTGCCTGTCTTTGAATTGAGGAATTTAGTCAATTTAAATTTAGAATTGATAATGATATATGTGAGTTTAATACTGTCATTTAATATTAGCTGGCTATTTTGCCCATTAGTTGGTGTAAATTCTTCATTATATTGATGCTCTTTTTGGTATTTTTTAGAAAGGCTGATACTGTTTGTTCCTTTCTATGTGTAGTGGTTCTTTCAGAAGCTCTTGTAAAGCAGGCCTGGTGGTGATGAATTCTCTGAGTGCTTGCTTGTTCACAAAAAACTTTATTTTTCCTTCACTTATGAAGCTTAGTTTGGCTGGATGTGAAATTCTTGGTTGAAAGTTCTTTTCTTTAAGGATGTTGAATATTGGTCCCCACTCTCTTCTGGCTTGTAGGGT